TTGCATCGCTGTGCTGAATGTAACCCAGTCTCATTACCTTTTGATACAAATGGAAATATCTTTTAAGTAAGTAATGTTTTTTTATATAGCGCATTTTACAGACCAAGGTCACCCAAAGCGCTTTACAATGTTCAGAGTTCAGATATTGTTCCAATCATTCCACACACGGTGATGACAGAAGCGAGACGCCGAACACACTGGACCATCAGCTCCAATCAACACCATTCATTCACTCTCTCATTTACATTCAAACCGGAGAACCAGGAGGAAACCTGCGCAGACACAGGGAGAACATGCAAACTCCGCTCAGAAAGGCCCAGTCCCAACCAGGATTCGAATCCAGGACCTTCTTGCTGAGAAGCAAGAGTGCTATCCACTCAGCCACCGTGCCACTACTCACAAATGCGCTGCTGCCATCCATTCATCCATCCATTTTCTTTTGCTTAATCCAAATTTCTGAGTCACGGAGGTGGCAGTCAGCGGGGGCTTCAGGCATAGTGGGGTTAAGTGTGTTGACCAAGGACTCAATGACAGCAGACATCAGTGGGAGTAGGTCTTGTGGTGAGCCCGAACCCACGACCTTCAGACCCAAAAGCCAATACTCTACCAACTGGCCACTGTCGCTGCTGCACTACACCAAAACTGAAATAAGCAGCACAGAAGGAGAGAACGGATGTTGTACTGTAATAAAAGTGCAGTTAAATTCAAGAACCTACTTAAACGTAATTCTGAAAAAAGTCCCATCAACATTGACTTTCCACAAGGTTTACAGCACTTGTTTAAATGTGTAGGATTTATGGACTGTTTCGCGGCAAACGAAAATGCAGCAGAATTGAAGGTGCCATTTTCTCCAACTAATTAGCTTGCCTTTGTCAGCTTGTTTTGACCAACTTCTATTGTAACACATAATAATATCATTTAAGTGTGAAACTCGAACAAATTTCTATATTTTACGGCTGAGTGAACCAATATGAAAACTATTTCACGCAAGAACAAAGTAATTCCCTTTTTTCTCTAATTGTGTTTTCTCTTTCAAACTTCACTGTCAACACTTTTTGATTATTATTTTTTCATCCGACCAACAAATAAACCCAACCTTGTAACCTTTCTGGTTAGTGAATGAACGAGGTAAAGTGGTTCTTTAAAGCCACAAAGGACCTCAGACCAAAAGGCAATGGACGGTTTACTATAGCTTTTGTCGACACACTTTGGAAACCGATTTATCCATTTCTTCCCCCTTTTCCCACGAGCTGTCCGCAGAGACGAATTAGCTGCGTCATATGATGTTACCTGAAGGAGACGAGAAATATTGGACCCCGCCGTAAATGTTCTGTAAAACCGCTGCAGTCCTGAATACATTTTGAGACTATCACAGTGATGGATTGCGGACAGTAGAGGGTGAGTGGACTGAGGTTATAAAACGCTGAATCTGCAACAAAAAAATATTCCTGCATAATTCTAATCTATTGTGTGCGCCAAAGCTTGTGCCATATTTGGTGTGTAATATTCTAGAACAAATAAGAAGAGCGTGGCTTTCTCAATGACCCGCGTGTGAAGCTTCCCACTGACAGTTTTCTGCTGCCGCTTTGTTGTTTTATGACTGCAACTTGAGCTGTCACACAATAGGTGACAGAATGTTGTTAAGGAGCCGGCAGTAGAAGAAGTGGGCTATGTCGGTTTGCTAGAAGTTCCATTACATGCTTTTGTCGGCTGTGTTTCAACTAAGATAAATAACAACAGTCTTCTTTTGTTGGAGATACTTCTGTGCGTTTATGGTGATTTCCAGGTTTTGTGGTCATTTTTTGTCAAACACAGCTATATCAACAATCACATGTATTCAGAGATTCAACGACTGTGACATTTTGGGCTGATACCGATGTTAAAGGAGCAGTATGTACAAATCTGGCCAAAAGTGGTACTGCACTCTCCCTGACTGAGGTTGCCAGATATGCAGACGAATCCAGCTGGGACCATAATACACAAAGATAGAAATCCTAGTTTTATTCAGCCAGTTGGAATCAGGTTGCTGCGTTGTGTTTTCATAAGTTTATGGACAGCTGGCATGGGCTTAGCACCTCCTGTCAATGTGGACAAGAAACGGATCTCAACGTGTCTCTAAATGCCTTCAGGTGTGCAGCTTATTTACGGCAGTGTGTATTGCCATAATAGCCACGAGTTGTAATCAAGTGAGGGTGATTTTTATGTGAAAAAGAATCCAAAAAGAGGCAAGTTTTCATTGGCTCTGAATCACAAAGACTATCCGTTGCCTACCATTCAGAATATTCTCAGTTAGCCCTGATTCATAAAAACGTAATATTTATCAATAACTTTACAGAGCCAGTTGATGGTAATATTTTATTTATTGATGTTTGGAAGTTTTTTTTTTAGTTAACAGCAAACCTATACAGACAGGAACCCAACAGCTTGCACTGCCGGGGAACTCTAACCCCTGTGCCACCATGTTGTCCTGTGACCCCTATGGCCATTATTCTAGCATTATATATAACAAATCAACTCTTTACAATTACTCTGCTATGTAAATAGTTTTGATATGTCAATAATTAATGTTGACATAAACTAACTTTGTTTCAGTATGAACTTGATTGAAGACTTAATTTACTCTATCAGAATCAAAATCATTATCATTTATTTATCTTTTTGTATGAATTTTAGGAATTTGGTTTGGTATATGGTGCAGACAAGTTATACAAAAATGAAAAACATAGATCTACAAGCATGCGTAAATATCATGTCAGACACACAACATACATTTAACATATAGATCATTAATAACATAAGCGCAAACAAAAGTAAGACAACCGTTAAACACATATCTAAAACTTACTCCTTTGTCTTTTGCCTGCTCCACAGCCCACATGCACCAGGAGTTTGTTTGCCCCTACTAGTTACATGTCATGCCAAAACAAATAAAACATGCAAAAGTTGATTAAATTGGGGAGACATAGTGTAATTGGTTCGATTTTGACACTAAAGCCCAAAGCCGCAGTGTTTGTAGCTCGTTCTAACCAAATTTCACTGCAGTGAGGCACTCGGCACCGGCTGTAATCTACTGTATGTTGTCATACGCACGTCCCTAATGCATCTGACTGCCACCGGGCTCCGTACAGTCACTGCAGAACGAGGCCACTGCGAGATGTGAAAAATCTGTGTTTTTGCAGCTCAAACCAGACTTGCCTTTACTTAGTCCTCCTCCTGATGCTTCAAACACACAGAGCTATTTTAAGATAAAGTCTTTGAGTATTCGACAGGGCTGACTCACAGTAACAAAAACAACAGCGGCTCGGCGAAGGCAAATGCCGAGAGTCCCATAAAGATTAGTGCTATGTGAAAGATTCATGGGCAAAAGACCGAGCTAAAGACCTGCAGGATGAAAAGATTCATTTTTTATTTTCTTGGTGAATAAATATTATTTTTCTAGACTTGTTGACATTCTTGTTGTGGATAATTGTGAGACTTGATATTTAAAATATAATTACCCATGGATCATTTTCAAGCTCTACATTAATCTCAAAACAACGTCTCGAAAAGACTCTTCGAAATGAAAATTGCAGTGGGAATTTGTGGCTGCCCATTTAGAAAGTAATTGCAAATGTAATGAACAACAAATAGAACATAACGTCTTGATAATGAATGAAGAAAAATAGGTCAAATACCCTCCATATTCAGACATTTAAGGTTGCAAACCGAAATTTCCTTCATCAGCACAGTAAGAAAATTTTTTAGGTTAACATTAACAATCTGAACATGTTTATTCGCATAGAGCTCTCTCGCCTCCTCAAGGTGGAAAAGGCCCGGGAAGAACAGCTTTGAGTCAACGCTGAACAGAAACAGAGACTGGTGGAGTTGGAACAGACAGTTCAAAAGCAACACAACAAAAGGAATGAGCAAAAGAACTTCTCAGAACAAGTTGGAGACAGCAGACCAACTACACTTGGAAAGTTAGGTTAGACATGTGAAGCTTGAGGCTGAAGTCACAAAACTAAAAAATGAAGTGAAGCACTAGAGACTGACGGAGCTGGAACCAGACCAGATAGTTCAAGAGCGAGATGACCTCCAGGTCCAAGTTAATGAGCTCAAGAAATTGTTAGAACAGCGAGACGGCGTCATAAACTTTGGTAGGATTTCATTAAGAAAAAGAAGAAGGAGATGAAGGATGTGGTTCAGTAGATCCGAAATGGGCTCAATGATTATGTGGGAAACATCCTGGAGAAACAGCATTATCTGTATAATCACTGTTTTCTTGGGTTTCATTAAACTGGCCAGTAGGGGGCGAATGAGCAGAGGTGGGACAACTCAGTTTTGCTTCCATTGAAAACCATGTAAATCGTGTCTGTTTTGGAGTCAAAAGGCTCTCCTCCTGTGCAGTGTACGGTTGTTGTAATAGTCTTAATCGGGGACACTCAATTCTAAGGGAGTACTAAAAAATATTTCTCAAAAGAGTCTTGATTTTGGGCATTTTTGAAAAAAAAAAAAAAAAAACAGAAGAAATTGCTGCGTTTCATTGGGGTGGCCTGCAGGGGGCGCTTATCTGGGAAAGCCATGATCCACCTCGCCCGGCTCATCCCAGTGATTTTGTCAAAGTGTCCTCCTTTATATGAGACCACAGTTGAAACACGGAAGAAACTCTTGTCTTTCTCTATTTGTGCTGTTGCTACAAGCGTACACCGCACAAAAAGATGGTATTTTGACAGCACTTCTTCTTCTACTATATCTCTGTGTATAAACCCGGCAGACTGCACAACCAGGATACGTCACGTCCTGTCCTACGTTTGTTATTCGCGCCACTGCCCTGACGTCATATGAAACCCAAGAATAGACCTGGAATAAAACATAGCATATAATACACTTTTCGCTAATGTATTCCAATGTGGTTTTTTTTTACTGCAAATGGCAAATAAACTGAATCTGAATCTGAATCATATCTGCAAGAACAACTGGAGACGGCAGACCAACTACATTTGGAAGATGAGGTTGAAAGCATGAAGCTCAAGAGTGAGATCAAGTTAATGAAAAACCACCAAGAGCAGCAACAGCAGATGATCCATGACCTGCAGAGTTCAACACGGGACCTGCAGAGTTCAACACAGGACCTACAGAGTACAACACGGGACCTGCAGAGTACAACACGGGACCTACAGAGTACAACACTGGACCTGCAGAGTACAACACGGGACCTACAGAGTACAACACGGGACCTGCAGAGTACAACACGGGACCTGCAGAGTACAACACGGGACCTGCAGAGTACAACACGGGACCTGCAGAGTACAACACGGGACCTGCAGAGTACAACACGGGACCTGCAGAGTACAACACGGGACCTGCAGAGTACAACACGGGACCTGCAGAGTACAACACCACGGGACCTGCAGAGTACAACACCACGGGACCTGCAGAGTACAACACGGGACCTGCAGAGTACAACACCACGGGACCTGCAGAGTACAACACGGGACCTGCAGAGTACAACACGGGACCTGCAGAGTACAACACGGGACCTGCAGAGTACAACACCACGGGACCTGCAGAGTACACTGCATTAAAATGAGCTAAATACATTTTCATACTAAGTTTATCAAAGGTAAATAGCAGAAAATGGCGCCTCCTAAAAGCCTTGAAAAATACTGAATGTCTAAGCCTAATGCTATGCCTTTTCTTCATACAGTATACAGTATATTCATTATATATTCTTAAACAGCAGTAGTTAGTCTAAAGCAGGGATGTCGAAGTCAGAATCCTCAGAGGGCCAATAAAACAAATTATCAGAATACCGTATTTTATTTAATGATTATATCATTTCCTACATGTATATCTGGGTCTGATTCGAGTGGCTGCAGTTTCCTCAGTTGATCCGAGGCGGGTGATGTACAGTAGGTCAGTGTCGGTGACGTCAGGAGTTTGCGCCAAATTTCCTTGTTGTGGGAATGCCGGCGAATGCGATAGTAAAGTAATCCGTTCTGGTTCGGCTCCAAATGTTCAGAAATTGAAGCCGGAGCTAGAGGAATGTTTACCATATTTTCTTTCTGACAAAGATGTTGTGGCTCTACTGCCCACAGGCTCCGTTAGTGGCAAAAGAGATGGCTAAAGCTAGGCTAAATGCTAAATGCCTCACTCACTCATACGTCACGGTAAACTCAGATCCTATCGTGTCAATCTGCAAAATCTACAATCTACAATAGTACAGTGGTATGGTACAAGGCTAGATTTCTAACAAGTATGCAAAAAAATACACAATTCCAGACAAACAAACCCTGATTCATTCACAACGATTTACTTTTACAAGACTTTCTGTTGGAACAAACACAATGTGTTTGGGCGGCACGGTGGCTGAGTGGATAGCACTCTCGCCTCTCAGCAAGAAGGTCCTGGGTTCGGATCCCGGTCGGACCAGGGCCTTTCTGAGTGGAGTTTGCATGTTCTCCCCGTGTCTGCGTAGGTTTTCTCCGGGTACTCCGGTTTCCCCTACCACTAAAAATATGTACAATAGGACTGTGCATGCGCCTCCTGTACTGGCGACCCCGCTCCCATCTCTGTGTGGAGTGAGAGGACAAATGCTCAAAAAAATAATAACAATTGTAAACCGCTGTGTGACCCTTGTCTGTGAAAGGCGGTATATAAATAAACATTACTTACTAATGTATGATTTATCAAGGAAAACAAGTTACAGTAGGTACCGCACCTTTAACAAGCACACGCATGTGTAGAGAGCACTAGATTTATCGGTTTATAAATATTGTGTGTTTCTTCTGCCGACTATTTTTGTAAGTGCTGAATTAAATACACTCACTCAAAATTCAGATTTGTTTTGTCTATTTGCTTCTGCCGACAACAGTTGATTCACAGCTTGTCTCTTGGCTGCGCACCACAGCCCGATCACTTGAGGGGAGTTTATTTCTATTACCTGAGTGTGTCCTGTACAGTGCATCATGTCCACAATTATCCAGGAGATTGTCTGAGTAAGTCACCAGCTGAGCCTGCCATTCCCCCCATCACTCACACCCCACCCACGCACAGGTGTGAGGCCAAACATGTCCAGCTGAACGTTCGGAGGAGGCGAACTTGGAGAAAGTGTGGGGATCACAAAAGGCTGCAGGGGCGGTAGGGTGCGCGGAAAACACATTAATACAAAGTGCAATTTGGTTTATGGTGGCGGTTCAGTCGACCGTATGGCTGGGCAACCTCTTAAAAAGTTCAAGTATCTAACTTTCACACTCGGACAAATAACAGAATTATTGTTGTTTGTTTGTTTGTTTATATATTCATTTCAGGCATTTCACATTGGGAAACATTCAGCTCTTGTCCATCATGGTTTCCAACAAAAATAAAAAAAGTAAAGCTAAACTGCATAAGAGGGGAAAAAAATTGTTGCCTGAAAGGGAATAGGAAAAACTCTGGCTTTCCTTTCAAAACAGTTTGGTTCTATTTTCTCCCGTGCATGTTTTTTTGTTGGTCTTGGTCTTTTGGTCAGCTTTTCAGGCATAAAAAGAGAGGATGCTAGAACTGTTAATGCTAGCCCAAACTACAATATCTAGACAGAAAACAAACTAAACAGAAGTTAGATTTTACACAATGAGCTAGTTTCGCAGCGGCAGGGCAAATGGTGGCCCTGCTGCGATGAGAATACTGCTAGCTTTTATTTTACTTTCATTGACAGACCAAAACACATTCATTATGCCCATGTCAGAGATTCCATAGAACTAAAACCATTAGCCTGAACCATTAGTTTGTTAACACAGTTCAAACATGTTAGCCTAAAAGCCTTTCCTGACAACTTAACAATTGCACAGCCAAAGTACATTTTCTACCGTGGCAGCACAAACAAACATAACCATAACCAAGGGACGTCCTGACATATTTACCTTACCATGCATTCACCTTTTACATTCACTAAACTTCATAAAACAACTCAAAGTTCTAATAACGAACACCCTCATCCAGTCATCCGCTCTCAATCCAAAAAGTCAATTCACAGAGCTCAATGCACATACAGTAGAGCCACATTTAACACATTTTGCCTTTATCACATTTTCTAATATGATAATAGCATGAAAAAAATGCCTGTCTAAAAACCACATATTTTTTTGGTCTTTAGAATTCTATTGGTCAGAAAATCATAATTCAAAAACATAACAAGGCAACAATTTTAATGCAAAGGAAAAGATTACAGTAAAAATTAGAAAAGCATGTCTGATCCAGTTAGGGCAGGTCCTGGGTTCATAAGGTCCATGAGCATGTGCGGTGACATGGGGGTGGGTGGGGGTGTACCCGGAATAAGAATTATCCATTGCTTTTGTATGGCGTCTTCTTTCCTCTCGAAAAACATTGTTATAGGATGGTCCAAAAGTCGTTCAAGATTGTGTTGCTCTGATTACCGAGTTTTCACCAACACCTGAGCAATAAAAGATACAATTCTGTTCTGGTTGACCAAATATTACTGTAACCTATAATAATCAATTAATTCTGCATTCCAAATAAATTAATTGAAATTAATCATATACTACACTTTCTGCACTCAAAGCTTCTGTGAGACCATTGTACAAGTTTGAACAGAATGCGTTCAGCAGCGGTGGAGTGTTGGTCTCACTTGACTTGTGTCCTCCTGGATGGCTCTGGTCAGCCCTGTCCAACACTCGTCCTGACAGTTTGATGAAGTGCTTTGCGTCTGAACACCCGAAGGCGCTCGCAGTCACCCTCACACGCCATCACAACAGGCCGGAAAAGGCCGGAGAGGTCGCCCCCAGCAACCACAAAACTCCAAAACAACTCGTCGATTCCAATATGAGAGGATCACAAAGGGCTGTGGTTAGTAAAAGCTGATGACACATTATAAAACAGCATTCAAAACAACAAAATAAGTTATCAAAGCTTTTTTACAACATTGTCCCCTTTCCCGTATCAATACAAAGTGTTCATGGAATAGGAGGATCTTTGAGTGACGTTGTTGTTTATAGTTTTTCGGTGCCGGTCACGTGACTGGGTGGAAAAACAGCAGCCAAAGCTACCTGGATGATAGGGAGTTAGCTAGTTTTAGACATTTGAAGAGAGGTTTTACTAAATCAAATGGTCTACTCTTGTCTTGTGGTTATTCGTCCGGTCTGCTGGGACCTGATAAAGTTTTTTCTGAAGTCGTTTGGAAAAGAATACCTAAAAATGAGAGAAATGGTTCCAGACGATCAGGAGAATGAACAATCAGAAGAAAGCCTGGATGATGGGATCAACAGAAAGAAAAACGTACCCGGTTTTACCAACACAGTGAGTGATGATTTCTCTTTTCTCCTTCGTATTTACCCACGGCAGATTTGATTCCAAAAAAAAAAGGCCCAACCTTTCTAGAAACAATATAATCATAGGCCACCAGCCTTTAACTTGTCTTGCATGAAGGGTCCTGGGTTATCTATGAATCAAGAATATATGTCTCCGAGCAGATTGGTGCCAAGACAGAGGTAAGTCTGACCAATGTCTGTCGTCATCCCAGGTCTCATCTGGGCTTTGGATTTGTTCAGTTCAGTCTCCTGCACTTATTTTTTATCTTATCTTCTTATCTCCTCAGATCTTCTTGTGTTAAAGTGCTTATTTACAGTGCATTTCGCCAACAAAGTCTTTTAAAAGTACTCGTCGCATCCATGCTTCAGTATGTGCCGCTCTGTCTTCTTGTTACCCAGTGAGTGGCACATGCGCAGTGCGCACATGGATGTAAACAAAGATCCTCCTGTGATTGCCTCCGGATATACATCACTGGATGAGTAGTCAGAACGACTGACCTGCATGTGTCCTTGTGCAGGACCCTTAGCCCACCTCGCCCCCAGTGTATCTTTACACTGGTGTGTGAATGGGTGTTTGGTTCCTTGATGTGAAGCGCTTTGTGTGCCTCAAAAAGCTAGTAAAGTTTTATATATACAATTTACACACCACGTATCCTCATGGCTTCCATCAACATCTGCAGCAGTTTTTCCCTTTTATTTGTCGCTTTGTAGAGAGCGTTTATTTCATTGTTTTTCATGTCCTGGGCCTGGGAGATAGTAACTCAGACGGCTAATGCAAGTCTAACCTTTGTCCTTACAATGTTACAAACACATAGCACTGCATGTGTACTACATTTGTGCCTCTGGACAATTCATAATAACTTGTTTGGGGTATACATTCCCAGGGAAGATTCTAAAACATGATTTGAACCAAATTCTTCTGGGGCATGTGAAATTGGTCACAGTATCTTTTCAGAAATCACATTTTCACACTTGTTCAATCTCCTAAGGCTGTCAGCCCAGCTCCACTCAGCCTTTTGATTAAAATTGTAGCCCTTTCTTCTAGAGACAGTGTTCCCATCCAAAACATTGGCATAAAAACAGCGACTTATTACCGTCTATCTGGCAGTTTATCCCAAATCTTTTCAAATGGCTGAGTGCAGACACCGGTGGACGGACCAGAGCTGGCTCTAATCACATCTTTCTTGTTTCAGTGTGAAAGTGTTGACAGGTTCGGTCTCATAATATACGGACATCTTTAAGCCTTTATGGCCCATCACACCGTGGACTTAGAAGCTGCCATTTC